CAGTTGTGATCTGAGGCAGGCGTTAGTCTGAGGCACAACATATACATTTAACAATTTTTGTGTTAGTAATTAAAACCTAAGCTTTTGATGCATTTAGAGAGTACATGTAATTAGACAGTATTAATTAACCCATAAACACCGTTTTTTTTTTGTTCTTTAACGTATGTACGTTTTTAAGAATTGAATTTAAAGGGTCTCACTGTATATGTTTTTAGAATGAGTGCACGATAAACATACATGCGTCATATAGTCGTGTATATGCTGGTGCGTAAGCAACGTCCGGTTCAAGTGAATACACAATCTAATATAAATAACGTTAGAATATATAAAGATAATATAAAATTAAACTCATTTTCCTACCTCTAACCAACCTCCAGGTTTTAATACTCTAAATATTTCTAATAAAACTTGTTGAAATGTATTTCTTTCCATAAATAAACATTTATCTTTAGAAAAAACATAATCAAATTCATTATCGAGGAATGGTAGCTTTTTAGAAATATCACATTCAATGAATTTAACATTATTATCTTCATCGTCAGAGTTTACAGCAAAATAATCTGATATGACAAAGTCAATTGCATAAAATTCTGAATTCGGATGTTCGGCAGCTACCTAATTTAGTTCTGAAAATTAATCTCTTAAAAATAATAATAATAATAATTACCTATTCATAATTTTAATATGGCTAAATACCTCTGTAGACCAAATTCCACCATCACAACTTTTATTATTATGTTTTACGAAAAATTTAAATTAATAAGTTTTTATGAAAATATTATCAAATTGTAAGAATATAATTTACCAAAATTCTAGCACTTTGGCACCATTTTGTAATTGTTCATGAACTGGTGCACCTATTTTACCATTAAACAAATGCTCGTAAATATTGTGCAGATAAAATCTAGCAACGTTTAATTCCTCTTCTCCAACAGGGGCGAGGATATCTAAACTCTCATATATTTTTTTTTGTGAATGATGGCTCATTGTGAAAAGTTTGGGATGAATAGGATGAATATTTACATATCTAAAAACACGCATCATTTTATTTATTCCAGAATCGATGCCTTCATAACTTTAAATAGAATCAATCATATGTGATAGTTTTATAAAGAGTATTATATATGGGTAGAAAATCACAACGGATGTTTATTTTACCAGGAACGGAGTGATGAAATCACGAAGTAGATGGTTTATATAGAACAATAAGTGGTTCATGTACGCGAAATCTTAACTTTGATTGGTCCGAATGACTTATTCATTAAATTTTGGTTATTTTTCACACATGAATCCATCACGCATATAGACCAAACGGATACGTGCATTCAGATATATAATTACAAATTATAACTTGGATACAAAAAATGCAAACGCAAACTATGTCGTAGTTGCGATAATTAACGATAGTAAAAAAGGAATTTCAGGCGCAAAATTGGTAACCCGGTGCAAATTAATTTGCGTATTTACCTGATATTTGGCATTTTTTGGTTTTTTTTTTCGTAGGATTTTTTATTAGGTTGATGGAATGATAATC